TTTGGTTCGACCACGGATCATTCTTACAACTTACTTTTAGGAGGAATAAAGATCCTTCCAGAAAAGCAACATTCAGAAGGTCCTTTTGAACCCAAAACCGACATTTCAAAAGAGTTATATTACCTTTAAAAATGTCATATCAAAATTTTTGATGAATATTCATTCATTTGTTTTCTTAGAGAAAAATACTTCAGCAACACCCAATTAGAGAAACCAAAGAATCAATATTAACCAAACTTTTTCACCAACAATATTGTCTAGGAAGGTGCAACAGATTGACATCACTTATTAACACTTTAAAAAAAATCCCCATTTCTTCAGACAAAAACCTCAACTTTCACCACTTAATCAAATGATCAGTCAATTGAAGAAGAAAAGGAAAATCTAAGCATTGATTCTTACAACTTATATTTAGGAGCAAAAATGATCTCCTAGATAGAAATAGAAGGTCCCTTTAAACCCAAGCCAAAGTCAATTACAACTGACCCAAATTTCAAAAAGTTATGAAAATTCATAATTTTTGCTTTTTGAGAGTATCTACTTTAAAACATTAGAAAATACCCAATTACAACAAACCAAAGAAAACACACACACACAGAGGAGGGGACAGGGTAGTACGTGAAACAGAGTGCTTTTTCAAGAAGACAGAAACGCTAGGATTCCTCCGATCAGCATTGGAAGTGAAAGCAGGGGATTTGTGAAGCGATGGAACAGTAGGAAAACGAACACCAGAGAGTGTGTACACCATTGTTTTCCTTAGGGTTTTTACGAATCTTAGTTCATGAGGTTCAAGTCCTACACTAAAACACCAGATCTGATAACTAACTGTCAAAAGTGTGCTGAGTTCAAGGCGCCAAGAGAAGCGTGATTACAGAGAGAGAAAGAGCAACTGACTTTGAGTGGCGGAGGTTTTATATTTATATATTTAGTGAAACCACCTTAGTGTGTGATTTTTATAATTAACTTTAACTCTATTTATTATAATTGGTCCCTTAATTTTTATTTTATGAACAATAATGGTTTATATTTTTTAAAATAATAATTCAATTTTAAATTTCCCATTTTATCATTAATCATATACTTTATAGCTGCATAAATTTCACGACATCTTAAAAATCACAAGTTTCAGATTTTTTTTAAAATTCTTTGCTCAATTAAACTACAACGACAAAAAGTCTTTCCATGTTCCCACAAAATATATATTCAAGTAAGTTCATTAACAGTGAAATTATTTACATTCATTTACTACATTTACATAATAACCTTTTGACCATCAAGAAAGTCTAGTTTAATTTGACCATCAAGAAAGTATAGTTCAAATTGATTGACCAAAGTTTTTGATTTTGAATTCTAAATATGAAATATCTTTTGCTTTACTCCGCAATATGAAGTTTTTTTGGCCATTAATTTAGATTTTATCGGGTCCCACTACAAATATAGACGAGGCATGTACAAAATATTTTATATTTATACAGGGGACGAAAAAGGATCGCACTTGAGGAGTGTGATGCAGACAACCCTAGTAGTGTCTGCTTCCACACTTCGAACTCGTGACTTATAGGTCATATGGATATAATTTTACCGTTATTCTAATTCTCTCCTTCCCAATACAAATATAGACTCGAATAAAAAATCAAAAAAGGAAATTATTTTAATTATTTTAATATTTCAATGTTTTGATATTTTTCCAAGTATATGAATCTTCGAAAAGATGAGGAACGAAAGGCTACCAGTGTATTTCAGGTGCAAGTGATTAGCTGTCTTTTTCAATCTTGTGGGGTTTTCACTTGTGATCTTTTTAGTGGCATTATTCCATGTGTCTTCTAAAAGTGAGGAGTACATTTTGTTAAAAGAGTGTTTGGTTAAAAGAGTATTTTTATGGGATATTCTTTTTGCTTATTTTTATGCTTTATAAATCATATGCTAATTGAAAAGATACCAGTAATATTGATTGTAAGTGCCACTTTAATGAGTTGATGAGATAATCACATGGATTATAGTGGGGATCTTTTAGAACATCGATGATAAATCACTATTTAATCATTTTTTATAGAATAAATCAACTAGACAGTATCTTTTTTTCACAATTAAGCAATGATCTTTATGATCGGTATTACTACTGCTAGTCTATTATTATCTTATTCTTTAATTTTATTATTATTGTTGTTTCTTTTATTTTGAATATCTTTATTATTTTTGTTGTCAATACTTTGATCTCTTGCATTTTCAAACATGTTTTGAAAACGTTTTTCTTGAATCGAAAGTCTATCAGAAACAACATATTTGCCTCATACAAGGGTACAGTTGTGTATACGTTATCCTTTGCTTTCTAGACCCCACTTGTGTCACGACCCCAAATTCTCTCCGTAGGATACCGTGATGACACCTAGTCTCTAATACTAGGTAAGCATAACAATGCGGAATAATAATCGAAATATGAAATAAATAAATCTGCAAGTCACTTAATTACAACTCCCAAAATCCGGTAGAAATAAGTCACAAACTTCTAAGAATTTATTCTCTATGTCTCTATACATCAGAGTCTAAAGCAAATAAGGAAGACAACATAGTAAGATAGAAGGGGACTCCGGAATCTGTGAACGCTGGCAGATATACCTCGAAGTCTCCTCGTACCGCTAGTTTACTGATGTCTGATTTGATAAGATGTACCTAGATCTGCACAAAAAGATGTGCAGAAGCGTAGTATGAGTACACCACAGGGGTACCCAGTAAGTGCCAAGCCTAACCTCGGTAGAGTAGTTACGAGGTCAGGTCAGACCCTACTGAAAAATAAATAATGACATGGTAAAATGTTTAACAATATAATAAGATAAAATGATAATGAAAATTAATCAAGTAGTATGTCACCATTTAATTACACCAAATAATGGCAATTAATACCTCGTGGAAGCAAAACAGAATTCTTTTTAACTTTAAGAAAATCACAACGATAATCAAAGACAACTGCGGCCATAAATCAATATCAACAAGGGCACTCCCGAGGTACCGCCTCGTAGTCTCAAATCATAAATAAATTCACAATATCTCATTTTCTTATGTCACCACGGGATTCTTCACAATTTATTTAAAGAAAATATTTTTTTTTCGAAATAGCACCCCACGTTTTAGCCACCCTTATCACACCGCATGACTTCTAGTAGTCTCCCCTACTAGCCGCGCATATCAAGCCGCCCTTATCTCACCGCATGCGTTTCAATACCCAGACCTTATACCACCGCATGCGTATCAATATCACAATATATCATAATTTACACCTCAAGTGCTCAATATTTCAATTTGCCAAAATAAATCAACAACAATATTTTTCCATAATAAAGAGCTCATGGCTCATGCCAAAATAATCCAACAATAATATTTTTCCACAATAAAGAGCCCACGGCTCCATCAAAATGAGCACGAAAATCTCACAAAATATTCGGGAATAAATAACTCGACAAAATAATATTTCAAAATTTTAATATGTTGCTTCAATACCAATTTTAAAATGTCAAATAATTCATATTAATAATATTTAATTTAAAGAAAATCACCCTTCAAATAATGCACAGAATAAAAGAAAACGAGTTTCAACTAAACAGGTAAAATAATTAGTAGGAAAAGGTCAAACAAATATAAAGTATAAACATTTAAATCAATGATGAAGAATATAACAAGGTAAAATTATTTAATTAATATGCAACAGCGATCTACACAATTTAAAGGCATAATCTTTCACATTTAGCTCGTGTACAAACTCGTCACCTCGTGTACACAACTTTTAACACATTTTAATTTATCACATCAATACCAATCCTAGGAAAAATTTTCCTCACACAAGGCTAGACAAGTCACTTACCTCGATTTGCTCCAATTTAACCAAGTAGTATGTCTTTTCCTCGATTTTCTGACTCCGATCGACTCGAATCTAGTCATAATTAATTTGACACAGTCAACAAAAATTATAGAATTAATTCCATAACAAAATACTACATTTTCCAATAAAAATCCGAAATTAACTCAAAAATTGCCCGTGGGGGCCACGTCTCGGAATCCGACGAAAGTCACTAAATATGAACGCCCATTCAACCACGAGTCTAACCATACCAAAATGACGAAATTTCGATAATAATTCGACCCTCAAATCTATCCAAGAGGATTTTTAATTTTTCCCAACTTAAATCATTAATTAATTATTAAAAACAATGATGGATTCGGGTAATCTAACTAAGATTGAGTTAAAAATACTTACCCCGATGTTTTCTCCGAAAATCTCCCAAACATTGTCTCAATCCGAGTTCCAAATCGTTAAAAATGGAAAATGGGACGAACAAAACTTAAACTTTCTGCTCAAGCTTTTTCTTCTATGCCATCGCGGCCAAAGGCACGCGATCGCGAAGAACAAAATAAGTGTCATGCCCCAAACCTGAAGAGGCGTGGCCGGCACCCGATACTATACTCAGCCCGAGCGTACCACTCTGTAACTTAATCATCTGAAAATATCGTCTCTCTCATCTGAGGGGTAAACATACCCAAAAACTCATATATATATATATATATATATATATATATGAGTTTATATATACCCAAAAACTCTTCAGCATGCATATTTATATATATATATATATATATATAAATGTGCATGCTGACGAGGCCGCCATTAACATCTACTGATATACAAACTATACAGGACTAGTCTACAAGCCTTTAGAGATAGTTGAACCGTATCATGGTCGGGACATGGCCTCGACCTACCCATCAAATCTGTATATATAAAACGGACTCCAAGGTCTAGACTTGGTAACTCCGGGGAAGTGGAGCTTACCAACAAAGTTGATATTTGGCTCTGTCAACTGGGAAGGTCTATCCAGCTGTCTATCAGGACCTGCAGGCATGAAATGCAATGTCCCCAACAAAGGGACATCAGTACAAAATAATGTACTGAGTATGTAAGGCAATAGAATAACTGAAAGCTGAAACTGAACTGATGATATAATAACTGAATGTAACTGGGAATCAAAAATAATCTGAAGATATGCTTACCTGTTGATACTCACTCAACTCTCTCCATATAGTATGTAAAATAGTCGTCCGACCCTATAAGGCTCGGTATGTGTAACTGCCCTGCCGTAATAAGCTCGCTCATAGGCGCTCGGCCACAGTAGGCTCGGTATATAACTTACCATCTAATCAGAGATTGCCCAATAGGGGCCTGCCCACTGATTATAGCTCGATGGTGGTAAAAATAATGTAATACTGTATAAATATATATGTACACTCTCTGCTCTCTTGGATGAAGTAAGACAATACTAAACTGAATATGAAGTCCCGATAAGGGAGAATACTATAACTTATGAGACTATGATAATGTACATAAGTTCAGGAGTACGAACTTCTCTTTATGCCTCGTTATCAAACTCATGTAGTTACTGAATCATGCCAAAATGAAGAAAGGTTTAGCCTTAACATACTTATCACAATCTTTCCAATCACCAAATTGAACTCGCCTCTTCGTACCTTAATCTACAACAACGATAATAATACTATCATTAAGTTACGAAAGTACAACTATCGCACAACGAACGACAGGCTTATTTTGTATTAAAAAAGGCAACATCTCCCTTATAATCCTTACGTCCTCCAAATTCAAGATAACACCAACAACACAAGAATACAACAATATAAACATGTATACATTATTTCCCAACCTTATTGTAACGACCCGACCGGTCATTTCAAGAATTATAACCCCGTTTTCCCCATTTCCTACTTCTTTTTGTGTTATTCAGCTATATTATGTTATATCGGGTTAGTTGGTTCGAGTCCGGAAGGAACTCGGAGTGAAATGAGACACTTAGTCTCATAATTGAAAAAATTAAGTTAG